CTTAGGAAGGAGGAGAATCACTGTAAAACAGTGCATTCCCTCAGAGATGTTGCAGAAGAAGGCCATGGTCAATGATATTGAAAGCCTCTTAGAGATCAAAGAGGCTTGTGCTCCCCCACTCCTGCTCTCTCCGTAAGTCATCCATAAGTGCAACCAATGCAATTTCCATGCTGTATCTTGGCCGGAAACTGATTGCCAAGGAGCCAAATCATCTGCTTCCTCTAAGGCTCTCTGCAGTTGCAGAGCGTCAGCCCTCTCAGGTCACAAAACAGACACTATCATACCCATTGGAGCTTTATGATATTGTTGTGGGGTATAATAACAAAATCTTGAAAACCTATCAGAGCTTTCCGCTGACCTCTTTTATGGGATGCAGAATCAAGGCAGGATTATTTTGAGTCTCTTGAGTAAGAAGAATGCTGAATTCCATTTCCTATGCTCCTTCTACACAGCGATGTAACTTTTTCCAGAAATTTTCTTAAAAATGGAAGGTTGGAGATGGGTCTAACATTGTCAAAAGCTGTTTGATTGAGAAGGCTTCCTCATCAGGTGTGACAAGACAGCTATCCTCCTCCTGCCCCCCATGCAAAATGCACCCTTTCTCCCCTCTTTGCATAAGCATCTGCACACAGAATCCAACAGGGGGCTCCCTCTGCAAACAGAAGGGAACACCATGCGCTTCAGCATTGGGCCACTGGAGGGCGAATACCACAGGTGGCTTTCCAGAGGAGGGTGGGAAGGGAGTGATATCACTGAGTGTTGCCTCTCTAGGATGCTGCACTCTCTCTCTTTAACCCTTTGACCTTCTCAAGAGGAAAAAAGGCTGCCTGAAAGTCTTGCAGGAAGAGATCCAGACCTGGCCCTGGGTGAGTGGGGGGGCCTCTTGCTGTGCAAAGGGAGGTAGAGGGTTCTTGCACTTGAGAAGGGAGAGACACATAATAAGTCCTCATCCAGGTTTAATCTTCTGAGTCCTGGGAGTGGGAGAGCCCGGTTTCCATGTTCCTCTGTCGCTCCTTTCATGCACGTAACAGGCAGGGGAGGAAGCAGAGCTCCAGACCAGCTGTGCTGCCCCCAGGAATAACTCCAGGATCCCCAGGAAGGAGGAGGGGATCTGGAAAAGCCCCTGA